ATGCAAGGGAACGATAAAGCATAATAACTGTCAAAAGGCAACGCAGTGAGAGTCTGATCATGTAGATTCGGGTTGCTTTTCATAGCATTCGTTTCGTGTCTCACTATGGGAACGCCCTGGGCTCCAATCATGCTCCACCGGCCTTGATTGGCAGGGGATAAGTCTGTCAGTGGCAGGGAGAGGGGGCGTGTCCCACCTACCTGGTGGTAGTTGACAACCTTTTCCGCTTGTCAATGTTCCTCTTAGGCCTTCTAACGAGTTATCATCTGATCCAGGTGCGTTAAACCAGGGAGAGAACTAAAACATGCAGGATGCCGGCCCTCGAGGACCGACTTTGGGCACCCCTGACATAGACCAATATAGAACTGGTTACTTTACTTCTGTAACCCCGGTTTTCCGAGTAGCATGAGTGTGGGGCTGAAACGATTCCTCAGTTATTAATATTCCTTGAGGAAAATTGTCCTGCCTCGAAGCTTCGTTAATTTATGTTTTATCATTTAGCACACCGTGTTCCGGCCGGGACATTATTTGCGTTACGCGTAGCTCTCACTTCCGCCTCTGAGTTGTTGACGAAAGCTAAGTGTTAGCAGCATAACGTCCAATTTTCAAGTTCGGCCCGTGGGGGATTTTATTGATTAATGATAATGCCCGGGTACTCATCGATTTTGGGGGGGACCAATAAGCATCCTTAAAATGAGTACGGCAGCCTTTTTTTCCGGGAGCTGCTGGTTGAAAGTGAACGGCGGCAAGACCGCTGCAGGAGTATTTATACAGGTTACTTTCGTAACCCCGGTTCTCTGGAGTAGCATGAGTGAGTGTCTCACCAAGCCACCCTCCTTGCTCATTGGTAGCGAGGAAGAGGGTGTGAGTTTTTGAATGAGCTGTCTGTGCAGGGCCAGTCCTATATACAGGAAGAGAACTAAAACGTGCAGGATGCCGGCCCTCGAGGACCGACTTTGGGCACCCCTGGTCTATGTGAACTCTAATCGGATTGCAATGCGGCGAGACCGCTCCGAAGACGCAACACACACTGATCAGATTCATGCTGCGAATGCTTGAGCTCAACATTGAGCAGGAATTCGGTGGCATATTGATTATTTACTCACCTGTAATAATTGTTGACGCTATCCAAAGACATAATGTTGAAGGCATCTGTAAGCAAAACGAAACGGGAGAGAGTGAGAAGTATCTCAAAACACACATAAGTTAACACGAGGTTTTTTCCAGTTTCACTAACTCAAATGTAAGACTTTTTAAGATCATTATGAATAAAATTCAAGACCTATATTGGGCAGAAAACAACTGGATTTTTTTTGTTTGCTTGTTTGTTTTTTCAGGGGAACAAAGCTGTGAAATTTCTGGGGTGGCTGTTGGCAGCCGCTTTGACACAAGCTTCTTTGTAGAGAAGAACGTAGCCTTGTATGTGTTGACAACAGAAGCGAGCCAGTGGCTAAGACAAACATCATCCAGCTAACTGTTGATAAACTTACACACACCCAAGATAGACACAAAAAAATCTAGCTAGTTAGCTGCTAATACTTGCTAATGCTGCTAATTCTTGCTACCAGTAGACTGCAAGTAGCAGTCTACTTTAGCAGCTATACTTAGCTAGGTATAGCTATAGCTAGCCTAGCTATTAGCTAGGTTGTATTAGCAGCTTGTTCCCTCACAGTACGGGGGGTGTGAAGATGTCTGGGCACAACTCAAACTTTTGCCACAAAGAAAAGTCCCACAAGAAAAAAACCTACATAGAATATACAAGATTAAATAATCTAAGAATAACCTAAGAGCTGTGATTATGTATTTAAAGCTAGCTTATATTTTCTGTAATGACTTTAAGATATTTTAAAGCCTTAAGTTTGGATACATTAATTTAAGACACCTTTTAACACAAAGGTGTCAAACTCAAGGTCAGCAGGCCAAATCCGGCCCACCACACCCATTTTATGTGGCCCTCTCGACTTTGGAGAACCACATAAATAGAACCTTCAAGATAAGTTGTATGCCTAAATATTATTTCATATTTATTTCATGTCAAATCAAATAATTTATTGATTCTAATTGTTCCAAATTTTATTCAGTGCGAAAGCATTTTCATGAATATTTAAATATATGAGGGTCTCGGTGAATGCAGGGAAAGCTATTTATTTATATTTTAACTGTTTGTTAATGGGTAGTTTCATCAATCAATTCTGCAACAGCCAGATTATTGACGCCCTCTTTAGGACGTCAATGATCTTGACGTGGCCCAAAGTGGAAATGAGTTTGACACCCCTGATTCAACAGGATGTAATTTAATTGAAAACGAAAGTGACTGTGTGGAACTGTACGAGAAAATTAATAGGGATTTTCTGCTTTCTGAAAAGGTGGTGAAGATGGCCCGAGTCAGAAAAAATCTCCCTTCTGATCCCTGAGAAAAAGACTTTTGTAAACTCTCAAAATAAGGAGCTGTCCCAATAAATCGGCAAGCTTTTGGTAACATTTAACAGCGCTGTGGTTACCAACCATGATTTCCTCGAATATCGATCCACTTGGTGCGCTCCATCACTCGCGACTTCTTCAGGGCGTTATGATAGGCCTGCCATTCCACCTCGTGCTGGAGGGAACCCACCTTGCTCTCTGTTTTGGCATCTGTCAGGTCCCCTGAGTAAAAACAACAACAAACGGTCATCTTTTTTGGGCTGTATGAAAATGACTGCATGAACATGCTTCCTGGGATTTTACCTGTCGCGAGCACTAGAGCCGGTTTGATCACATCGATGGTGTGGGTGCAGAACTTCTCAAAATCTGTAATGCGTTTTGGGTCGCGAAACCGACTGATGTGAATGTCCGACACCTTGGATCGGACACAAAAATAGGAAGAAAACAAAGAAATAAAATGGTGCACAGTGCCTTAAAAATGTATTCAAAAGTATTTGTTTTTTCCCTCCAAAATTTTGAAATTTTGTCACATTACAACCATAATCATCAGAACACGTATGTGTTAAAATGGTCCAGTGAAAATCCAGACCTAAATCCGATTGAAATTTGTATAATCATAGAGAGAAAATATGAAAAGGTATAAAAGGTGTGAATACTTATGCAAGGCATTGCTGTCAGCTGAAAAGAACAAGATATCAAAGTTTGAACACAACCTGCTGTGGTGATGAATCACCTTTTTTATCTGGCATAATACTTCGGTGGTCAGTGACCCTGTCAGTCATTCAAAAAGCCACCAACGCCTGTTTTTAGCTCCGTAAAGCCAAATCCATGCATCATGTTCAGACTAAAGCATTACGGGGTTTGGTTAGACTTCATCCTGGGGACTGTCACTTGAAAAAAAATGGAAAAAGAAAATGATAGCCCACCTGTACAAACCAGAAAATGTTGTTCAACTCGTCCCCGGGAAATGGTGGAGAGCTTCCCTTAGGTCCATCTCCATCACTGGCACTCGGGTGCCGAATGCTGCGTTTAGGGTGCCAAGCCGTGTCATAGCTATCCAGCACCCAAGAGGTGATGAACGCCAGAGCCAGTCCGAGGACAACCAGCGCACCGAACAGCTTCAGCATCCTCCTGTAGTGGCGAGAAAAGGGGGGCTAGCTGCCGCCGTCTGTCCCGGACAGGGAAAAAAAAGCTAGCTACTGGCGGCGGAAACAGCTGAGGGCACGAATCACACCAACATTGATATTACACACCAGCTAGCTACATGGCTAAAGCTAAGGCTCAGACCGTTTTTGTTGCTGCCATCGCGGCCACGGGAGACGCATTGAGATGCTTGGTTCATTCACGGCTCCGTTCGGCTGCCTTCAGGGACAGACAGGAAGTATATCGGAGGTTTATCCAGCTGTTAGCTGCCTACCAGCTTCCTACAGCTTGAACCGGTTAGCGGGGAAACGACACCACCAAGACAACAGAGATTATGTGAAAACAGGAGCTCCCACTCTGACATTATTTTCAGTATCGCCTCCACCTGCGACCCTCTTCCGAATAAAATTCACCTTCGGGAAAAAATTAATTACTTAAGATCTAATCAATTTACTACCGCTTGAGGAAATTTTTGGGACGTGGATGTATTTCAATTTTATGAGCACTATGAGTAAGGCAAGGGGAGTATAGCAGAGGAAACCATTTGGATTTGTTGAAGATTAAAACAAAAAAAATACTGCGAACGATTTTGCCAATGATAGTTTATGTTTTAGAACATAGCAAAAGTACAACCGTAAGTAATAAAAGTTATGTTAATAATCAGTCGGCCAGTAATCCAGATCAACTAATTTATTTTACCGATCATTTAAACTCTTTTTTTCTGTCTGTAAATGCATCAACTAGGATGTTCTTTGATGCAATTTGGTTAGTTTGTTAAAAATCACAATTTCTACTCTTTCCAAATAATATCTGTCCAATTCATTTATTATTATGCAGTCCACGCCATGTTTACGACCTACACTCTCCTATAGGTTATGTAATAAGTTAGCTACATTAATCTTTAGCAAAACAATCAAAAGCAAAAAAATTTTCAGTTCTCTATATTTCATTATATATACACAACAAAGCTCAGGGTCTTGTGGTGTCCATGGGGAAAAAACATTGACTTTATTGTCCTTAAGCCACTGTTATAATTTTGCCTGCGTTCTTTTAGGGTATCGTCCATTTGGAAGACTTGTTTGCACCCAAACGTGGCTGACGTCTTTAAATGTTGCTTCAATATTTTTACATACAGTTCTTTCTTCACGATGCCATCTGGTTTATGAAGTCCACCAGTTCCTTGTACGATTCAGACCCACAACCTGATTCAGCCAACCCTATATTTCACACTTGTAATATTGTTCCCAGGATATCTCCAAAAATGAAGATTTCTGTCCCTGTGTGCGTTTGAAAACTGCTTTTTATTTATTTATTTTTTTTCTTTTGGAGTAATGGGTAATGGCTTCCTCCTCGCTGAACGGCCTTTCAGCCCAGGACACACTACGAATTGACACCATCTTACTAGCTTCAGGCAGCATCTTCACAAGGCCTTTGACTTTTGTTCTGGAGTTTATTTGCACAGTTAGGACCAAAATACAGACACCTGTGGAACATGGGATCGCCTTTAAGCATCTAAATTTACTAAAAATAAAATTTCCCTTTCTATGTTCACTTCTACAGGTCATATTTATCATAACATTTATGTTAATCGCGTTAACATGATAAGCAGCAAGACTCAAATACTTATTAAAGAGTTTTCCTGTTAGGCATGGGTCACACAGATAAACATTTTCTAAATCTAATACTGACGTTGCAGATGCAGTCTTCAACTCACGGGTTCCCTCTAGTGGTCTTTTAAAAAATTGCACTTTTTCCAAATTAAACCGATTGCATCATTTCATCAGATGCACTGGATTTTCTGTTTAGATAATGCGGTTTTTATAATAACAATGATATTAGTAATCGTAAAAATAGTAATACTAAGCGTATTTAACAGACCATCTACTGCGCGTGCGTGGAGCTGTAAAACTGTCAGCGCGCTTTAAATGTCTCCCCGTGCGCGCGACCGAGCTGTTGCGAGGGGCGATCGGATCGGGGCCGCGCGCAGGAAAGCGGATGACCACCAAGGAGCTGTCACGTCACGGATCCGCAGCGAGATGCTGAGGTGACAAGCAGAAGAGGGAACGGCACGACCTTTCTCCCTCCACACACACACACACACACACACACACACACACAGTATTTCCCCTCACACCGGTTCTGTTTTTTTTTTCCTCCGATCACGCCAACACCGCCTCCCCTCTCCCTCTATCCCCATGGACGGTCCGCGCGTCATGGCATTCCTCTCGATGTCGTACGCGCCGCTTCGAAACCTTGAGGATATTTTGTAACCACACCCGGCTCTTCTTTGGATCAAGGATTGCCCAGGTAAGGTTCCCCTCTTTTTTTTTTCTTCTCCGCCTCTCGCGGTTATGCCTGTTGTTTCCACCACTGCAAACCGCCGCTGCAGCATGTGGGGTTTATCCTGCACGGCGTCAGGTTAAAACCATAAGCTTAAAAGTTTTTTTTTTTTTTTAAATCTTAATGTATTTCGGATACACCGACACAACGGTGTGCATAATTCTGTCCGAATAGTTTACAAACAGAAATCTTGAAAGTGTGGGGGGCATTTGTATTCATCCCCCTGTCCTAATATCTTGTCAAACAGCGCTTTACATCCATTGCAATGGGAAAAGTTTACACATCTAGAAACTGAAATTCTGCGCGCATCGTTCTTCTAAAGCCTTTTGTGAACAGCAGTTTTGACATTGCGTGATGGTGTAATTGTCATGCAGTGTTAGCTTACAGCTAGCTACGGTTTTGCATGTAGACCAGAAAGTTACAATTTGGTCTCATCTAACTGGAGCGCCATATTCCAAGGCCGTGTCTTCAAGGCTTGGGGCAAACTGCAACCTGATGATTTATGGGTTGCATATTGTTACTTTTCACATCCTTTATTATGATGGATGGAAGAGATGGTCAGAACTTCCTCTCTTTCTACTCTTTGGTCCTGCTCTGCATCCATGAAACCTCCTTTTCAACTTCTATCAAGTATTATTGAGCTTTTGAGATGCTATCCAGCTGTTCCCAGTTGCAAAAATAACACTTTGGCCACTGAAATCATAATACTCTATTTTTTTCTTTTTCACATACCATCTGAATACAAATCATCTTCTTGCTATAAAATCGTCAGATTGCCTTTTCTGAACATAATCCCATTTCTGTCCCAGTGTTGTTCTGTTTGCTTTTGCCCTTTTTGAGGTGTCTGCCTCCCTCTATAACCCAAGTAACGAAGATAGGGGGCGGCGATCTACGAGGCGCAGGACCTGCTGACGCGGGGCAGCGTGGCGCTGAAGGTGGAATCGGCCCAGCAGCCCAAACAGGTGCTAAAGATGGAGGTCGCCGTCCTGAAGAAGCTCCAGGATGAGTGGAAATGGGCTCGGCGGATTCATTTACAAGAACCGATCGATCCACGCCTACACAGTGACCTATTGATTTGATTCAACATGCATGTACTTTTTGTCATTGGGTGAATGTTGTAGGGAAGAAGAAAACCGTTTTTACATAAATCTTGTTGAAAACACAGGAAATGGCATGTTGAGTGTCAAACCCATGTGTGGATCAGTTCTGGGGACAGATTGTCTGAAATTCAATTTGGGTGACACTTCATTTTTGCTGCAGTATCCTGATTGTCAATTTCTTCTTACAATTCATCAGAAAATTTTTGCATAGGCTCAATTCGTTTCTTTTCCTTCTTTTTTTTTTACTCCAAACTCTACTTTATTGCTTTTTAACCAGCATGTTGTGTTTCTTTTACCCATCTGAGATGAAAATCGATGAGCTGGGATCATGTTTGCTGTCTAATGGCCTCGACCTGCAGCCCTGTGATTCTGCTGCTTCCTAAGGGAGCCTGCATGTAACTTGAGATGAACTCAACTCTAATCCCCCATCGCTGCTGATCCGTGCAACTGTCGAGAGTAAACATTGACCAACNCGGTATCGGGAGGAAAAAACCTGATCGGCACATCTCTACTATTTAGCTATTTTAAATTACAAATATGCTTAAGAAAGTTGCATGAATAGAAAACCAAACATGTTTTAGGGTTTTATTCCAAAACGTAGGTCAGTTCTGACAGAAAGGATGAACGTTTTTAAACAACCTCCAACATAAAAAGGTGGATCTTTCAAAATAGGTCATTTCTCAATGACAAAAACCTTGTTAAAGCAGCTCCTGCTCTACAAAGCTGAGTCCATTTCAAATAATACGGTGCACCACTTGATGATGTAATGTTGACGAGGGCCTGGTTACCAACACACGTGCAATTACACCTCTATTACCCATTTTAATGGGTGACCTAAATTCACAAGAATGAAATTATACAATTTGACTAAAAAGCTCAAAGCACTCATTTGCAATTTTTTTTTTCCAATCAGAAATTAGGACATTAAAAAAAAAAAACAGAGCTTACCTGATTGAGGATCCCGAAGAAATTGTATGGCCGTTTGGGTCCAGGAGTCAGGGTGGCGTCCACACAGACGAAGGAGTAGTTACCAAACGGGGTGGTGTGAACATAATGAAAAGAGCCTACTTTCTGATTGGCTGAGTATTTTCTAGGAAGAGGACAATACAAGCAGAGGCGAAGTCAGCAGCAGAAGGGCGGCACGGTGGTCCTGTTCGGAGCCTGAGCCTCAGAGATAATTTAATGCATTCTAAATAAATAAATTAGCCTCGTCTCACAGATGAAAAATCAGGACATTAAGGATTATTAGGGAGGCAGGAGACAAATCAACATTAAGGGAGGATGCAAGGGAACGATAAAGCATAATAACTGTCAAAAGGCAACGCAGTGAGAGTCTGATCATGTAGATTCGGGTTCTATTTTGGTCTATGTGAACTCTAATCTGCTTGCAATGTGGTGAGACTCGTGTTTCAGGAGCACCGAAGACAACGCACATCGATCAGATTTATGCTGCGAATGCTTGAGCTCAACGTTGAGCAGGAATTCGGTGGCATATTGATTATTTACTAACCTGTAATAATTGTTGACGCTATCCAAAGACATAATGTTGAAGGCATCTGTAAGCAAAACAAAACGGGAGAGAGTGAGAAGCATCTCAAATACACATAAGTTAACAAGGTTTTTCCAGTTTCAACAACTCAAATGTAAGACTTTTTAAGATCATTATGAATAAAATTCAAGACCTATATTGGGCAGAAAACAACTGGATTTTTTGTTTTTTAGGGGAAAAAAAGCTGTGAAATTTCTGGTGTGGCTCATGGCAGCCAAGCTTCTTTGTAGAGAAGAACGTAGCCTTGTATGTGTTGACAACAGAAGCGAGCCAGTGGCTAAGACAAACATCATCCAGCTAACTGTTGATAAACTTACACACACCCAAGATAGACACAAAAAATTCAGCTAGCTATCTGCTAATGCTAGCTAGGCTAGCTATAGCTATAGCTAGCATTGTATGTGTATAGCTAGCCTAGCTATTAGCTAGGTTGTATTAGCAGCTTGTTCCCTCACAGTACGGGGGGTGTGAAGATGTCTGGGCACAACTCAAACTTTTGCTTCAAAGAAAAGTCCCACAAGAAAAAAACCTACATAGGATATACAAGATTAAATAATCTAAGAATAACCTAAGAGCTGTGATTATGTATTTAAAGCTAGCTTATATTTTCTGTAATGACTTTAAGATATTTTAAAGCCCTAATTTTGGATACATTAATTTAAGACACCAAAAAGGTGTCAAACTCAAGGTCAGCAGGCCAAATCCGGCCCACCACACCTATTTTATGCGGCCCTCTCGACTTTGGAGAACCACATAAATAGAACCTTCAAGATAAGTTGTATGCCTAAATATTATTTCATATTTATTTCATGTCAAATCAAATAATTTATTGATTCTAATTGTTCCAAATTTTATTCAGTGCGAAAGCATTTTCATGAATATTTAAATATATGAGGGTCTCGGTGAATGCAGGGAAAGCTATTTATTTATATTTTAACTGTTTGTTAATGGGTAGTTTCATCAATCAATTCTGCAACAGCCAGATTATTGACGCCCTCTTTAGGACGTCAATGATCTTGACGTGGCCCAAAGTGGAAATGAGTTTGACACCCCTGATTCAACAGGATGTAATTTAATTGAAAACGAAAGTGACTGTGTGGAACTGTACGAGTAAATTGATGGGGATTTTCTGCTTTCTGAAAAGGTGGTGAAGATGGCCCGAGTCAGAAAAAATCTCCCTTCTGATCCCTGAGAAAAAGACTTTTGTAAACTCTCAAAATAAGGAGCTGTCCCAATAAATCGGCAAGCTTTTGGTAACATTTAACAGCGCTGTGGTTACCAACCATGATTTCCTCGAATATCGATCCACTTGGTGCGCTCCATCACTCGCGACTTCTTCAGGGCGTTATGATAGGCCTGCCATTCCACCTCGTGCTGGAGGGAACCCACCTTGCTCTCTGTTTTGGCATCTGTCAGGTCCCCTGAGTAAAAACAACAACAAACGGTCATCTTTTTTGGGCTGTATGAAAATGACTGCATGAACATGCTTCCTGGGATTTTACCTGTCGCGAGCACTAGAGCTGGTTTGATCACATCGATGGTGTGGGTGCAGAACTTCTCAAAATCCGGAATACGTTTTGGGTCGTGAAACCGACTGATGTGAATGTCCGACACCTTGGACCGGACACAAAAATAGGAAGAAAACAAAGAAATAAAATGGTGCACAGTGCCTTAAAAAAGTATTCACACCCCTTGGTGTTTTTGTTTTTCCCTCCAAATTTTGTCACATTGCAATCATAATCATCAGAACACGTATGTGGTGAAATGGACCAGTGAAAATCCAGATCTAAATCCGACTGAAATTTGTATTATGACGGTGAGAAAATATGAAAAGGTATAAAAGGTGTGAATACTTATGCAAGGCATTGCTGTCAGCTGAAAAGAACAAGATATCAAAGTTTGAACACAACCTGCTGTGGTGATGAATCACCTTTTTTATCTGGCATAATACTTCGGTGGTCAGTGACCCTGTCAGTCATTCAAAAAGCCACCAACGCCTGTTTTTAGCTCCGTAAAGCCAAATCCATGCATCATGTTCAGACTAAAGCATTACGGGGTTTGGTTAGACTTCATCCTGGGGACTGTCACTTGAAAAAAAAAAAAAATGGAAAAAGAAAATGATAGCCCACCTGTACAAACCAGAAAATGTTGTTCAACTCGTCCCCGGGAAATGGTGGAGAGCTTCCCTTAGGTCCATCTCCATCACTGGCACTCGGGTGCCGAATGCTGCGTTTAGGGTGCCAAGCCGTGTCATAGCTATCCAGCACCCAAGAGGTGATGAACGCCAGAGCCAGTCCGAGGACAACCAGCGCACCGAACAGCTTCAGCATCCTCCTGTAGTGGCGAGAAAAGGGGGGCTAGCTGCCGCCGTCTGTCCCGGACAGGGAAAAAAAAGCTAGCTACTGGCGGCGGAAACAGCTGAGGGCACGAATCACACCAACATTGATATTACACACCAGCTAGCTACATGGCTAAAGCTAAGGCTCAGACCGTTTTTGTTGCTGCCATCGCGGCCACGGGAGACGCATTGAGATGCTTGGTTCATTCACGGCTCCGTTCGGCTGCCTTCAGGGACAGACAGGAAGTATATCGGAGGTTTATCCAGCTGTTAGCTGCCTACCAGCTTCCTACAGCTTGAACCGGTTAGCGGGGAAACGACACCACCAAGACAACAGAGATTATGTGAAAACAGGAGCTCCCACTCTGACATTATTTTCAGTATCGCCTCCACCTGCGACCCTCTTCCGAATAAAATTCACCTTCGGGAAAAAATTAATTACTTAAGATCTAATCAATTTACTACCGCTTGAGGAAATTTTTGGGACGTGGATGTATTTCAATTTTATGAGCACTATGAGTAAGGCAAGGGGAGTATAGCAGAGGAAACCATTTGGATTTGTTGAAGATTAAAACAAAAAAAATACTGCGAACGATTTTGCCAATGATAGTTTATGTTTTAGAACATAGCAAAAGTACAACCGTAAGTAATAAAAGTTATGTTAATAATCAGTCGGCCAGTAATCCAGATCAACTAATTTATTTTACCGATCATTTAAACTCTTTTTTTCTGTCTGTAAATGCATCAACTAGGATGTTCTTTGATGCAATTTGGTTAGTTTGTTAAAAATCACAATTTCTACTCTTTCCAAATAATATCTGTCCAATTCATTTATTATTATGCAGTCCACGCCATGTTTACGACCTACACTCTCCTATAGGTTATGTAATAAGTTAGCTACATTAATCTTTAGCAAAACAATCAAAAGCAAAAAAATTTTCAGTTCTCTATATTTCATTATATATACACAACAAAGCTCAGGGTCTTGTGGTGTCCATGGGGAAAAAACATTGACTTTATTGTCCTTAAGCCACTGTTATAATTTTGCCTGCGTTCTTTTAGGGTATCGTCCATTTGGAAGACTTGTTTGCACCCAAACGTGGCTGACGTCTTTAAATGTTGCTTCAATATTTTTACATACAGTTCTTTCTTCACGATGCCATCTGGTTTATGAAGTCCACCAGTTCCTTGTACGATTCAGACCCACAACCTGATTCAGCCAACCCTATATTTCACACTTGTAATATTGTTCCCAGGATATCTCCAAAAATGAAGATTTCTGTCCCTGTGTGCGTTTGAAAACTGCTTTTTATTTATTTATTTTTTTTCTTTTGGAGTAATGGGTAATGGCTTCCTCCTCGCTGAACGGCCTTTCAGCCCAGGACACACTACGAATTGACACCATCTTACTAGCTTCAGGCAGCATCTTCACAAGGCCTTTGACTTTTGTTCTGGAGTTTATTTGCACAGTTAGGACCAAAATACAGACACCTGTGGAACATGGGATCGCCTTTAAGCATCTAAATTTACTAAAAATAAAATTTCCCTTTCTATGTTCACTTCTACAGGTCATATTTATCATAACATTTATGTTAATCGCGTTAACATGATAAGCAGCAAGACTCAAATACTTATTAAAGAGTTTTCCTGTTAGGCATGGGTCACACAGATAAACATTTTCTAAATCTAATACTGACGTTGCAGATGCAGTCTTCAACTCACGGGTTCCCTCTAGTGGTCTTTTAAAAAATTGCACTTTTTCCAAATTAAACCGATTGCATCATTTCATCAGATGCACTGGATTTTCTGTTTAGATAATGCGGTTTTTATAATAACAATGATATTAGTAATCGTAAAAATAGTAATACTAAGCGTATTTAACAGACCATCTACTGCGCGTGCGTGGAGCTGTAAAACTGTCAGCGCGCTTTAAATGTCTCCCCGTGCGCGCGACCGAGCTGTTGCGAGGGGCGATCGGATCGGGGCCGCGCGCAGGAAAGCGGATGACCACCAAGGAGCTGTCACGTCACGGATTCGCAGCGAGATGCTGAGGTGACAAGCAGAAGAGGGAACGGCACGACCTTTCTCCCCGTCCCTCCACACACACACACACACACAGTATTTCCCCTCACACCGGTTCTGTTTTTTTTTTTCCTCCGATCACGCCAACACCGCCTCCCCTCTCCCTCTATCCCCATGGACGGTCCGCGCGTCATGGCATTCCTCTCGTTGTCGTACGCGCCGCTTCGAAACCTTGAGGATATTTTGTAACCACACCCGGCTCTTCTTTGGATCAAGGATTGCCGAGGTAAGGTTCCCCTCTTTTTTTTCTTCTTCTTCTCCGCCTCTCGCGGTTATGCCTGTTGTTTCCACCACTGCAAGCGGCCGCTGCAGCATGTGGGGTTTATCCTGCACGGCGTCAGGCTAACCTCATCGGCACGGTCGGCAGGATGAGTTTGCGTGGCCTGTGGACGCGCCTGAGTAAATCTGCTGTAGCAACCCAGCCTCGCCATGCAACAGCTCTCCGTAATAAAGCCGGTTGGTTCATCGCAGGAGAAGGAGGAGAGGTAGTTTGGATTTTTCGACGCAGCATGAGGGGAAAATGAAATGGCGCAGCTGGACATTAAAGACAAACCGGAGCGATTTCTGTTGGCCCTCACCCCCGCCCCCCTTTTTTTAGTTTGTGTTTATTATTATTGTTTTACGTACATCTGTTATTTCAGTAGTTTTAGCGAACCAAATGCAGCTCTTTAGTTGCTTCTAAACGTGTAGATCCATGTCTGACCCTCCAGAGCCGGCCCCAAGGTGTTGTAAGGCCTTAGGTAGAGTTCCCCCCCTCCTCACCTAGCTCCCAATTTAAAGGCACCAGCCACACTTTCCCTGTATAAACAAATAGCATTTTACATATTATGATTTATTAACATGCTCTATAATGCTTTTGTGTGTACATTTATCAGGGTTATCACTATGATAATGTTAGCTTAGAAATGTGTCAAAAATTATGCAAGAAGTGTTTTTACAGGCTGAAGGACATTCAGTAGAAGCAGACTCAAAGATATATTATAGATATAATAAATATCGATTACATTATACATTTTGCGTATTCTTATTTTTTTTATTCAGAATAGTAGCATGTATTAGTAAAATTTCACAGCTGCCTGTTGTGAAACA